GTCAGGAAAACAGAAATCCTACTGGTTATTTTAAGACATGATCAAATTGAATAAACACAATTGGTTGAACAAGTACTGGAGAATGGAAAAGACTGGAAGGGAACAGTGAAGTGTCACAGAGAGAGAACTGCAGGAAGCTTCTACCAGCTTCCTGATCCCTCAGGTGCTCAGAGAAGAACCCCAGCAGATCACAGCCAGCTGCTTCAGACGTATCTGAGGAAGTGTGAGAGGGTTGTGGAGAAAATCAGGTGCTGGAATCCACAGTGCTGCCAGGTGAGGAGTTAGGGGGATTCTGCCAGGAACAGCAAGGGAACAGAAAGGAGCAGCGTCTTCTTTCTCCATTTCCCTCTTTCTCATTGGCAGCACCTAATAGGGAGTAGCTGTCAAAGGGAAATATGGTTTGTAGAGTTCTAGGCTTTTTTACTCACAAAGTACAGTATACGAAGGTGAATATGGGTCTGAGACAATCGTGTAGTCACTAGCTCAGCTCATCTGCTCAGCATCCATGCACAGCCTTCTACACAGACTTAACCTTCCAAAGGAAAACTGTAACAACATGGTTTTTTACACAAAAATAAGTTAATTTTAAATGATTACCCATTTTCCAAGCAGAGCTCTTCTTTCTTCAAATACCTACAATAAATAAAAAAGAATGGAATAACTTCATATTTCATGGTTCAAAATAGCCATTACAAGAAAGACAGACATCATTAAAGTATCAATAAATAAATACTGACAGGTTTTTCGTTGTATCAACTGAGTATAAAAGGACATACTCCATTCCTGAGAAGCTTCTTTACTCATTTTTCACCTGGGCAGAATATCTTTGTTCTGTTTTCCATGTGGAATAATAATTCATCTTAGAGAAAAAATAATAATTTTTTAAAGTAAGAAATAAGAAAGAATAGTAGAGTGAAATCAATTTTAGAATTTGAAAGGAGATAAAAAAACTGACAAAGGAAAAATAGGAAAATGGAGACAAATTTGAGAACGTGTGAAATTTATGAATGAGCATCTCTGCTTTCATATTCCAGTGTATACACCTATCAGTGGGTGTGCCTGTACTTACATGTTTGCAGGATTATAAATGTGTATATGTGCACCTGCAGGCTTACAACTCAGGGTTTATCTGTATCGGTTTGCTGTTACATACTATGTGACAGAAGCCAGGTCTCCTTTCTCTTTACAACTCCAGTGCAGAGGGCTGTACTACAGGTATTTATTTGCTAGGCTTGAATGAATGTGGATGTGACAGTGAATATCCTTATGGACGTATTGCACAAGGTGAGTGTTCTTTATATTTTGATGCAGAGATGTTTCTCTGAGCGTCAGTCAACATGTGTATCTGAATGAATGAGAAAGGCAGACCAGTGAGGATGTTCAGGAGAGAGAGTTATGGAGCAAGGGAGCAAGGGAGAGTAATGAACAGATGGGGGTGTCTCTCTCCCCACCCCCCCACACCCTCTGTCAGCTTTCAAAACTGGGATCCATGTTTCCCCCTTCCCCTCAGCGCTGCCTACACTCTCTAGCTCTGTAGGAGTGTTCCTACTTGGAGAGCAGCTCAGGCCTATTTCTTGCCTTTTTGTGGAGGCGGATGAGGAGCTGGTTTTTATGTGTCTAAGAGATAATGCTTTCCTTTCTTTTTTAGACTCTCAAACTGTAATTTCAAAGCGCCTACAAAATGGGAATTGAAATAATTGGCTCAAAAACAGTCTCAAGGCCTGTGAAATGTCAGCTGTGCTCCTGGCCAGAGAATCCTACATCACAGGTAGACACTTTTTGTCCATTAGAAAAGAAAAAGAATGCCCTCCTTCCCCGTCCTCCTCATTAACTGCCACTGTGCTATGAGGACCCTCAAATAACAGCAACAGATAAACTCAGAATTGCTAGATGAAAATAGAAGAGGACCTGTTAAATACAGACGATTTCAAAAATCTGGATACAAATCCATCCCCAACTCTTCTCCTCTGTCTCACCAAATCCTACCAATCATCGATCGCCCACGTCGGCGGCACGAGCACCTTTCTGATGCCCCCCGATCTGGCTCCTCTGACTCGTGCTCCCCGTACAGCTCACGCTCTGCTTGGACCTTAGAAGGTTGCTGTGACTCCCTCCTTCTTTGTGTTCCCTCCACCTTCCCGTGTAGATTACAACCACTTGCTCTCTAGGCTCCCCAGGTTCCATGGCAGGCCCTCAACAAACACCTGCTGACCGAACAACAAACACCTCCAAAGTCATAGCATTTTAGATCTCAATGGAATCCTAAAGATCTTTGTGTTCAATTTCCTTATTTTAAAGAGGATAAGCAGTGGCCCAAAGGGTTACATGTATAGATTTTTTTTTGAAATCACTGGTTCCAGACTGTCTGTTTAGCTCAGTTCTTCACTTGGTCCGTCACTAGGACCCTGGTCCCCCCTGCCCTGCCTTCCGGCCTGAGGGTTTCAATGCACTGCTCCCTGTGCTCTGGCCTTACAGGGGGGAGGAAGAAAAGGTTCAGCTGCAGGACCACTACATCCTCCCAAAAGAAGGATGGGATGACCACTGTGGTCCCAGTGACACCATGGGGTATTGGGAACACTGGGGCACTGACCTGCTGGGGAGATGCGAGTCAGCAGGAGGGAATAGGGAGGGAGGTGGGGAGTGCTATTCAGGAACATATGATATCCTTTCAAGGGCCAACGACCATGTCTAAGTAGGGTCCAAGAAAATCCAGCTCTTCACCAAAACGAGTCTAGACCTCAGTAGAAACGGTAGAGAGAGAAGTGGGAGAGTAGAAACACCAGACGAACTCAGATCTGGTTCTGACGCTACCCTGGACAAGAAACACAATTATTTGGGACAAATTATTTCATTCTCAGATCCTCGACTTAAGAGTCTCATATTCTCTGGTTTGGAACAAGTCTTCACTCCAAAGACTGGCAATCAGGTTCTTGATCTTAAAGAGCTGGAAAACAAAGTATTGATTCCAAATGGAAATACTGAAATGGATCTTCTTTCGCTGCAGAATCCTGCAGTCTGTTTACATCACAGTTTACCCAGAGCCTGCTGTTAAGTCAAAATCCTACGTTTGTTATTTTAGTCTGTTGACACTGCAGTTACATATTCACCATGTGACATCATTACAGAGTAGGGGTAAGACATTTAGGGGCTCCTAAATTATGACTGATTGATGATAACTAGCTGCTTTTTCTCAGAACACCCTTTTAACTGGACTGCCTTACATGTGTGAATCATACTCAAAAAGAAAGTTTACTTTCAATTAAAACACTAGATGGCAAAGAAATACATGCTTTTAAAACATTCCTCCTCTCAACATTTGCAATGCCTGAATGATTTGGAAATGTTACATTTGCCTATGCTGATGATGCTATTTTTTAGGCAGCGGAAATTGAATTTGATCTCTCTGCTTACAGCCTGCTGTGAAGTTAAAATCCTGTGACTCTTTTTTAGTCTGAAATGGTTACATATTTCACATTTTATTACAGAATAGAAGAAAGACAAAACAAAAACAAAAAGCAAGACCTCAAAATTATGCTGATTATTGGTGACAAATGCCCTGTTTTAGGAATGTAGAAACTCTGAAATTATTGTATGGACCTTCTGGCTAGCTGTATCCTTGGCATCTATTTTTAATCCATTTCACACAGTCTGAAGGGAACTTCAGACTTTAGACCTTCACAATCAACCCAATCATTTTATAAAGGAGGATGATAAAACCCAGAGAAAGTAACTAAGTTATTCAAGTCATGCAGGAAATTATTGGTACAGCTGATCTGGAGCCAGAATTTTCAATTTCCAGAATTATTTTCCTTCCTTTATTAATATTTGTTTTTAAGTTGCTTTAAAATTTGAAATTTTATTGCACTATATAATGTAAACACTGAAAGCACTCTTCTTACAGGAACACCTCCCCCAGTGCCATCCAACTCTTTGTGGGGAAACCACTCTTAATAGTTTGGTATATGCATATACAAGTTCTTTGAGTGTGTCGATGTACATTTATAGGCACACATATGTGTATACATACAAGCAAAGATTCTAAAAAATCATTCTACTCCAAACTAGAACCTGACTAAACCAAAAAGTACTTTTTTTGAACAAAATGGGACGTCTGAACAACAAAATAGATATTATCTCTAGTAGTTACCATTTCTAGACAAAAGCTATTCAAGAACCAAGATAAGAGACAATGAAATGCTTGCTGTGATGTGCTGCCCAGTCCCCGATGCAGGACTGAAGGATTTATTACCCCACCTGCTGGGAGTGTGACCAGCTGACAGCCAAGAGCTTGAGAGCTCTGCCTTGTCCAAGGGGGCGGCAGCATCCACTGAAGGGTCAGTGTGCAAGTATAAAGGCCAGTGGCTGCCGGGTCAAGGCTTAAAACCTGCCGCCTCCCCTCCCCTCCCCTCTCCTCCCGGTCCCTCCCTGACGCTGATTATAAAGCCCTTCCCAATCAAGTTATCCAACAAGACCATATTTCAATTCCAGTCACATTTTCACACGTGTGTAAAACCTTCACAATTCTACGGGAAAACAGATTTCAAACTAAACCCTGAAGTTTTGAGGAGGGGAAAGCAGAGAAGCTGTTATATCAACTGTTGACGAGCTGGGAGCACTGCAAACAGGCGCTCAATGAATCACTGTTGAGCTGAATAGAGCAGAGGCCGCAGGAGACTTGTTTGCTGTTCATGGGTGGACGAAGGCGAGACGTCTCTGCCTTTCCTTGTTTCTCTTGGTCCCTCCTTTCTTCTCTATTTCTCATTCTTCTTTCCTCACTTCCTTTATCCTTTTCCTTTCCGATCTCTCTCCCTTTTATTTCTCAGTATTCCCGTCACTATGCTGGCCCTGCTGTCTCTTTCCCCACGTTGTTCATCTTTCTCATCAGAGGATTAGAAAACGGAACAGGGTCAGAACTGATGCTCCCACTTTGCCAGAGTGATTAGCGTATCTTTTAGGGTTAGAGACCCAAAGTGTCAAATGTAGGCTAAGGTAGGAGGGATGTAGGGACAGGAAGGTGAGAGTCAGTGAAGGAGGTCCCAGGGGGCGCAGCTGAATGCTGACTCTCTTTCTTGTGCTTCAGGAAACATATCAGGTACTGGAGTTGCAGAGAAGAAAGAACCTCAACTCCTAACACATTACAGGCAAGTGGGAAAGTTAGTAAAAGTGATGAGAGCGAAGAAAAGCAAGCAGGAGGAGGCGTCGCAGAGAAAATGACATTTGTGTTTGTTGCCTACATCAACGAGGAGGAGAGCACGTGCAAAGGCGTGGAGGTGTGAGGGAGTGGGCCTGCCCGTAGGATGGGAGGAGCAGTCGCAGGGGTGGGAACTGGGGGGTTGGCGGAAGTCGGTTTGTGAAGGGTCCTCAATGCTGTGCGTGGGCATTTGGAATTTGTCCTGTAGAAAGGGCCTCTTAGCAGTTTACATAGTAAGATTAGATTGATATTTTAGAAAGGTCATTCTGGGACCAGGATAGAGGATGGGTTCATAGGGACAGAGGCAGTGAGACCACTTAGGGAGTCACTGCAATGCCCCAGGCAAAGGTCATAAGGGTGTGAAGGTGGACCTGGAGGGGTAGAGGTGAATGGAGAAAAGGGACCTGGAGGAGGAGATCTGGGGGAAGATTCCCAGAGTTTGAAAATAACCTGGATGTGGAGATGAGGGGATGCTGGTAGACATCCCTCTGGGCCTCTCACACTTCTAAAGGTCTTGGAATACGGAAAATGCAAGGCTCAGAATGCTTTTTTCTTTGGCAATTTCTCCAAGTTTGTTTGCAGCAAGGCAACCTTGAGCAATGAGGTGCTGCCTGCCTTTGAGATCAAGAGCAGGGTTGCTTACTGCTTACTATAAAAGCAGTGGGTTCCCCAGGCTCACTGTTCCTCGGCTGTGATGCAAACCCATGGTGCGTGTAGTATTCGCCTGGGCCCTCTGCGCCTCTCCTGTGGGACAAGGAGGGCAAAGGCAATCAGCTGCTTGCTGGGCTGTGAGTGATAAAGTTGTCTCTGACCCAAGAATCATGTGTGTCTTACTGTGAAACAGTAGTGGGAAAATAAATCCCAGACCTGACCAGGAGAAGAATGGTTTCTGGATTGAGTGACTTGGTGGAAAGAGGTGCCTTTCACCAGGGGCAGGAACAGGTGTGCAGGGACAAGATAACGAGGTCAGGTTTTATTGGTGTGGACTGATTTTTACCACCAACTAGGTGTGGCGCATCTAACAGGCATTGGCAATAGGAGCCCAAGACCTTTTGGTAAATTCTGCCCCCGACTAAAGCAGGACTAGGTATCTCCAGAGGCTGGCTGATCTCACACCCCAGCGTGATACTCAGCTCCTCACTCTTGGAATCCTTTGCTTTATTTTTTCTACTAGCACTTCTCCAGAATGCACGTAAGAAACAAACTTCTTAGGTGAACCTGAGTAATGTAATTGGTTAAGATGGGCTCATCTTACCTATCTAGTTAAATGTGCAGCCTTATCTTGTAACTGCAACTCTAGTAAGAAAATCTGTCTGGTTTTTTTTGAACCCTTCACAGACTACTCCTCTCCTCTCTCATTCTTGGTAGTTCCAACAGAGAACCAGTGATGGAAGAAAAAAGGCATTTTGCATATGAGAGAGGAGTGACAGTGGAGGAAAAACAAGTCTAAGACATTTTCACTGTGGGCAGGGATTGTGTCTATTGCCAGCCTGGCCCACATAGCAAGGGCTCAATAAAAGTTTTGGAAAAAATCATTCATTTTTTTTCCACATCTGTTACATAATTTTCAAAAATTCCTGTTCATATTTTGATAACCAAGATTGTAATACATTTTTTTCCCTGTAACATGGATGCAACTGATACAATAGCTCTAGTCACTTACCCGGTCATTCAAAAGCTGATGATTCAGGGGTGTCCAGGTACTCATCTTTGTCTGCATTTTGGGACCTTCTATGCTCTTTGGAGGTGCAAATGCCATCATGATAGAACTGGATGTTCTTCCATTAGAAAAACTACACCTATGAGAAGAAATGAATCATATCAATCTTCAGAGTACTCAAAATACTAATACTATGTAATATTTTAGTGTGTTGAGAAGAAACTGGGAGGAAGAACATTTCCTGGGAGCATTTTCTACGTCAGGTACTTTATCCACGTGCTCAATTAAAGCTCATAACAATCTGGTGAGGTGGTTGGTTTTAGCTCATTTTATAGAAGAAAATGAGGCTCATTCAAGTTACATGCCCTGACCAAGGATATGACACTTACTGCTGGAACTGTAAGTCAGGCCCAGGTCTGTTAAATTGCATTTTATTTTCATTGGCGTACCAAGGGAAATCCTAAATCACTTCTAGCTGAGAACATACCATATTGGCCAGAAAGAAGTCTTTTCATTTATAAAAGCATAGTGCAATACAAAACAGTGCATCCTTGTCCCTTGTGACATTCTTCCTCCCCTTATCTTCCTGAGAAACAAGGGTTCTAGCTTGATACCATATTTAAGAAGTAGGATGGCATGATGGATAAAGCCATGCCTACGGAAATGGGCAGATTTGAGTTTATTGAGGGAAGTGAGCTCTTTTTAGATGCCCAATATATGTCTGCCTTCGTTTGATTAAAGCAGTTTACGTCCAAGAGGAATGACTTTTCCCTTATTGTTTAGAGTCTGCTGGGTTGGTTAATCGAGGTGGCCTCCTTTCCACCAGCTAAGAGGCAGTCACAACAACACGCCTGACCAGGTGGACTGACGCTGGCTTATCCTTACTTTACAGCTGAGGTGGTTGTTGAAAGTCGTCATTAGCTTTCTGTTAAGTTGTTCCCGTTGTCTCACCCCTTAGGAGCCCCTTGTCCTTTCTTTGCCCATTTTGTGAACCACCTGATATCATTGCAATAAATTCCTCTTTTGCTCACATTAGCTAGAATCTATTGCGTTGTTCACAACCAATTTTTTCTTTTTTCTTTTATTTTTTACCTTATACAGATTTGACCCTGGCTCTAAAACTTACTAGCTGTACAATGTTATTATACAAGTTATTTAATCCATCCAAGCTTCAGTTTCCTCATTTGTAAATAAGAATGTATATGTCCACACTCAGCTGCTGTTGCAAAGATTAGAGAAAAAGGGTCCATCAAAGTGCTTGACGGATAGGTGGCCTCAAAAACTAGTAACTTCCCTGCAGCCTTTCCCAGAACTTCCTGTCATTTACAGAATGCCTGTCCATTAGAGGGATAGTTTAAGGCAGAAAACATCTAAAGCAGATTGGTGGTAGTTTCAATATACATCCTCAGTGTTTCCGCTTGTTCTGTCTTCCTTCTTCTTTGAAGGTGGGTTTCATTTTGGGGCCGGGGTTTGCTTGCCTGATTTATGGGCTCCAAAAATTACTGTACAGCAGCACATATTGGACAATTGTAAAAAAATCATTAGTTTTTGGCTGATCTGGGATTCCCATAAATGCTAGATCTAAATCTTTGAGGCTCTTGCTTGACTTGAGATATTCTCTTTCGGGTTTAAATTATAGCCGGAGAGAAAGGCAATGATTTAAAACTACAGGGGCATCATTAGACCATACCTTCTTGCACTCGCCTGCTGCCACCATACCCCTGGAATAAAGGGGGCTCAGATTAGCCCTCACATTCTTCTTAGGCCCTAATAGCTAATTATCGGAGTCACACATGATTAGCTAACTTGCAAAAGGCATAAATATTCTTTTATCATAGTATTAATTGGCAGTTATGAAAGTATCTGTGAGCAAGCAAATTATAGATGCAAAACATGGTCACTGAGTCACTGAGTCTAGATTTGCCCATTTAAAAAGCACATACTTTTTTTGTTCTTATTTATTTACGTTTGACATTTCTTCTCTTTAAATCAGTTTTTAACCCTCTTGTTTTTGGTGGGGGGAGGGCCATAAAACTCTGAGAATGTGATGAATATTATGAATCCTTTCCTTGGAACTATGCACATGAACATAAAATTTTGCTTACCCCAGGTTAAAAACACCTGTTGTAAGCTGAGAAACTCTCCTTCCAGTTTGTATAGGAAGTAAACTAGGCACAATTTCTGAATTAGGACAAAATAGCTTTTCTAGGGCCTCCCCAAAGCCCTGTACTGGTTGTTTTATTTTTCCTGATTCCTCAGAGCTAGAAATCATTTGAATTAGGCTTTCTTCAAATCAGTTTGAGAAATTTTGGTTTTCAAAAGATGAGCCTGGCCAGGAGAGACAGCCTTCTTGGTAACAGTCCTACTGAAGCATGCGAAGGGGGCACCCTGCCCTGTCTTTTGCCATATCCTTTGGCAATTTTTTCCTCTTTGCGCCATTCCAGAAGATGGGCAGTGTGCTTATCAGCATTCACATACATGCCACAGTGTAGACTGCTCAGGACTATTACAAAGACTGACACTGTTACACAACCTACAGAAAAAAAATAATTGCTCCCACCCTGTCAACAAAACAAAGCAGTTGTCTTCTCTTCTTTCTACATATAAAGCTTGCTGTTGCTTTTTTGTGACTTCTGTGGCCATTAATGGCTGTCCTTGCATGTTCACCTTTAATTTTCCTTTGGATAAATAGGAAAAAAGAGGGCCTATGACTCTAGTTCATAATGTATGGTTCCAACTCCATGTTCAATAGCAAGGAAGGGTCCTCTGGAAATGTTCCAGACAGGTAATGCTCCAGCCCCATCTCCCAAGCCATTCTTCACACTGTCACCATTTTCAACTTTACAAAGGACCTATTACACCTTTGTTAAGGGTACAAGGCTGAATCTCTGCTTTAAAGGAGCTTACAGTCTCCAATTAGATAGGTTTTTGTTTTTTTAACAAATAAGAATTTTGTATATATTTAAGGTATACAATGTGATGTTTTGATATATGTGTGCATTGTGAAATGATTACCACAAACTATTTCACACATCCATTATCTCCCATAGTTATAACTGTGTGTATGTGTGTGTATAAGAGAGAACACCCTCTTAGCAAATTTCAAGTGTACAGTATATTATTATTATTAACTATAGATACCATGCTGTATACTTGGTCTCCAGGACTTATTCATCTTGTAACTGAAAGTTTGTACCCTTTAATCAGTATCTCCCATTTCTCCCTCACCCCCTCCAGCCTCTGATACCCACCATTCTATTTAGGGACGTTTTTTTGTTTTTGTTCTTTTTTTAAGGACCAGTTGATCATGTCACTTTTCAGCTCAAAAATCTTCAGAGACTCACTAATGGCTTCAGAATATCCAGGCTCCATAACATGCAAGTCTTGATCCACTATGAATTTACCCCACCTACCTTCTGAGCCACATCCCTCTTTCTGCCCCTTCATGCACTGGCTGCCCAGGCATACTGAACTTTGAATCACTCAGACAACAGGGAACAAAACTCTGATGCTTGTTTGCTTATGTGGTTTCCTGACGCTGCTCATCTGAATCCTAATCTCAGTAGCACATAATGTGTTCAATACGTAGTCGTCCAATCAACTGAATAAATGAATACAACGGTGGAGGGGAGGCAAATTAAGGATTAAAATTCGTGGAAATGTAGGTAAAACTCAGATTATTATGAATTTGAGCATTGGAATTATGCTCAGGATTATCGGATTTTTATTTGGAGTTATAGAGCATAGGATTGAATTTCTCTGCGAACACACAACTCACCCATTGTGTGTACTGCAGTATTGCCAGATAATGAATCTCAGGTATTATCAGGAAATAGGATATGGTTAGATTTAAATACAAATTCATCTTATATTCAGCTAGTTAGAAACAAAGCAAAAACTCGAATACAATACAAAGAGCTAGTGCTTGACAGCACAGAAATATTTTGTTGGTTGTTAATTTCCGAAGTATGGAGCACCTGGCACTCTAACTGCATCTGAAAAGCAGCAAAATGCAATCCCCAGGGGCCCTAACGAGGTTTTGTGAGAGGCCCGGGGCGGGGGGGTGTCTCAGGGTGGAGCTCTCAAAAAAGTCTCCATCTTTTTCTTGTTCGGCCCAATGCTCTCACCTCTTTTAGCTCGTCTCCTCCTTCAAGCCTCAAGCGTTGGTGTTGCCATAGCTGCTTTTTCTTCAACTCTGTCCAGCCCACCCTGCCTACTTCCAGTAGTCCAATCACCATCTATAAATCCTTTCGCTGGCCCGGGGTCTCTTAGGCAACAATGTGTGATCTCTTGATTGGCCAGGAGATCCAGGCAGGCTGACTCCAAAACTGGGCACACGGAGGACACTAAAAAGAATGAAGGGTGGGAGCGGCTGCCATCTCCCAATACAATGCTAGAATGAAGATGCATCCAATCCTGAAACACGCCGCAAAGAAAGCCTCATTCAAGACAAATTTTTGTTCCAAATCAGGCCAACCTACTGAGCATGCCCAATTGTATTCCCCTGGTCACACCGGAGCTCCGAAATGAAAACTCCACTTTTCCAGGTTTTTAAGAGTGCCCAACAGGTAAAAGAAGGTTGGAGGGAAAATAATTCGAGATCGGTTCAATAAAAGAGCACCTGCAACAAGAAGTGAAAGACGTGGGAAAATTGCCTAACACACAAACTCACAAATGCTTCAACATGAATATTAATTTAGGAATAAGGTATTCAGGCCGACTGACCGATACTCTAGGGAACCAGCAGATGGCATGCCTTAATAAGAAAAACACCAAATTTGGGAAAATTTACAATCCGGTTTAATTTAATCAATTAAATTCATTGAGCACCCACCATGTAATAGAGGGCAGAGTGAGAACACAAGGATAAAAAAGAAGCCTACTGAGGAAGACTGGAAAATGCGATGTGCAAGTAACTTAATATAAGGCCCACAGTGATAACTGCTGTGATGGAACTATAAACAAGTGCTGGAGAATGGCTAAAGATTCAGAATTCTAGATGGCACTTCTTTGGCAAATGCAAAGCACTTTTTGTGGGCAGCAGCTAACCCAAACCAAAAAACGGAGACAACTTTCCTTACTATATTTCCTAAAATAGATAAGAATAGACTCTTCCAACTTAAATGTAAACCCTATTTTTATTGTTTTGTAGTTTTGAAATAGGCAGCATTTTTTTATCTCCAATTTAAAAAAAGCGCACAGAGGTTGTTGCTTTCCTTCAGTTAACAAAGGATCTGTAAGTGGCCAAACTGAAATTAGAACCGAGGTTGTCTGAATTCCAGCCTGGTGGTTTTTCCACATGACCAGGTTGTATATAAATGGATCAACAAAGCCTTTGGGGCTGGAGGAGTGGCCTGGGGAAGGTACATAGACTCAATACTAAATTACCATGTATTTACCAGTTAACGTTTATGGTCTCAAAATGGGTTTATCCAGAAAGAGACCAGTTTTAACAATGTGCTGTGAGAATGCTGTGTCTGTGAAGTCCCTGCACGTTAAAGACTTTCTACTGGTGGTCACAACTGATGGAATGAAAGAGGTGGGATAAAAGAGAGCATCTCACTTTATCCCTGTTGGATTTGAATATTTTTATCCCAGAAAATAAGGTCTCTTTCGTCTCTTCTCTCAGCCAGCACCACGGGGGCACCTCTTGCTCCATATCTCATCCAACAGTCTGGCTGCTGATCTCCCTGCCGCCTCGTCTGAATAACACCATCCTGCTGTGCTCAGGGTGAGCACTCTCTGTATCCAAGATGCTCCAACATTACTTTAAAGTGAAACATTTCCAACATAAAAAAATAGTTGAGACACTTGCATAAGAAACACACTTGTATCTTGACTGAAATTTAAAAAAAATATTAACATTTGTGCATCACGTGTGTGATGAACAGTTGAAGCCCCTTGTGTATAACTTTCCAGATCTCATTCCCTTTCTGCCTGTCTAGGGGCAACCACTGTCATGAAATTGGTGTGTCGCCTACTTGTCCATTTTGTATACTTTTTACGTACACTCCACCTCATAAACAATATGGGCTAGGTGTTGTTAAAAATGTATCATAATTTACATATCTTGTAGCTTGCTTTTTTTATATTTCTGAGATTTAATCATGCTGATACACTGGGTGATAATTTCTATGACATTTCCACCTCCCCATGTGAGCTATGATAAATCCTATGCCGGACAGTTTTCACAGGATGGTGTGTAAATCGAATAAAAATGCACCTAGCTGCACGTCTTCAGAGGTCCCGCAGGTACAAGGGATCTGGAAATACACAAAGCAGGCACACACGGATTTTCACATTTGCTATTTGCCTCTTGTCTTGCCAATGGGTTTCAGCCCCAGGTAAGTTCACTATGGATTCAATGTGACCAAAGAAATGACAGTAGAACATTCTTGGGGTGAAAGGGTTATAACCAACTTTATTTCCATGGTGGCAGGTCAGTCACTAAAATCCTGTTCACTCAGAGTGAGTCTGCATGTAGCCAGCCAGTCTCTGCTTCTGGGCCTCTCTAGCCCGAACAGCCGTCCTCTAGGCCTCTGTCCTTGGCACTGCCACCACTCCAGCCTCTGCTCTGCTCTCCTGCACTGGGCAGAGCTCTTCATACAGAGTCAATAACGACACAGTGCCCACACGTGTGTAGTGAGAGAGCCGACCAGAGCCAGGTGAGAATCCTGGCCACAGGAACCTTTATTTTATTGGCACCTCCCCACAGGACAGTGTTGACAGTGTTAACCCACAGACTTGCTTAGAATCAGCCTGTGGATAAAATGAAAGTCTCTGTGGCCGAGATTCTCACCCGGCCCTGGTTGGCCCATAGTGAACTTGCCGGGGCTGAAACCCATTGGCAAGACATAGTCCAAGGATCAATATTACTATTTTAAAAAAGTTACTGCACAAGTATTTATTTATTAAGAAAATTGAAAATGTCACTTCAGATTTCATTATGCTTTTCTTCAAAGCTCACCTTCTGATGTTAAACTATATTTGTGGCTATGAGAAATACTCAATCTTTGTTAAACATTGAGCACTTTTTAAAAACTGTGGTAAAATACACATAATATTTACCATCTCAACCATTGCTTAAGCATACACTTGAGTAGTGTTAAGT